TCATTCGCCTGCTAGTTCTGTTTCCCTAGCAACATCATAACATCGCAGCAGTCAGCTTGCTGAGGCAACCCGGCCGCGGAAATCAATGACCTTGGCGAATGGTAGTTGCAGAAGGCCACGAAGTCCAATCATCTGTTGTCTCACTCTTATTGATTATGCAGCCTAGACCCCAAACAATGAGCAAGCCCTCCAGAACACGAGGAATGCGATGACGCGCAGCCGCCTGCTGCCTGTGTACTACAGACTTCCGAGCCTCTGGACCTCCGGACGTCCTCGGCGTACTACGTTTGTACTACACCAGTCAGCTTTCGAGCCACCGGAGCTTCGGATGTCCTCCAAACAGACCAAAAGACGACAGTTTCGCGCGTCCTGCACCTCGAAAGATGGCGATTTAGATACGCACGTGCCTAGGCAGGAGCGCGATTTCCAACATGGCAAATTGCAAATCCCCTCAGTCTGGCGCTAACGGCCCCCAAAATGCAGGAAATCACGAGCCTGCCACGTTTTCGGGATGCAATTTGCAAGCCTCAAAAGTGCTTGGGGCCTAGGCGCGATTCGACACCATCCACGAAGCCAAACAAACATGTAATTTGGGATGTTTCACGGTCTCCGAGAAATCCGCGCGTGCTGTGGAAAAGTAGGATTGTTGTCCAGAACGCAACGCCGCTCGAGGAAAAGCGTCCACGTATCGCGGGCGCATCGCAGACGCATCGCAGGCGCATCGCAGGCGCATCGCAAGCGCATCGCAGGCGCATCGCGGGCGCCGCACACGCAGGTCAATGTCAGACTTTCTTACTCTTAATGAAAGAACCCTATCGCGTTGATACACTGTCTGCGAAATCTCGCTAGTTGAAAATGTCTGTCTGTCTGCTTTCACAGCCCTCACAACAGGCCGCTGAGTTCGGCACAACTGCATGGCTTTCGTCAAATACTGACAATCATAGCTCCTGTCGGCGCACGAACCAGAGTAAAATTATACTTTATATCCTCATCAAACAACATGTGATATGACTACATTTATGGGATGTACTGATATACATATATATGTATATATATATATATACATCTTGGATGATAAAGATTTAGCTATGATACAAGTTGGTATCATATCAAACCATCGTGTTTCAAAGAAAAGTGGCTATAATTTACAAGATGGCATTAATCATGTCACAAGTGATATTTAATTGCAAATATACAGTGTTTGTAGGCTTGATTATGGGGACTATACGGCCTTATAGGCCATCCTGGATTCCAAAACTAATTACATGACTTAAGTGAGGAGTAACGGAGATGAATCGTCTGGTTCTGAAGATTTGTCTGTGTCTGTCAAGATGCCAAGATCTGCCAGGACTGCGCTTGCACCCCCTCGCCCTATGCACATCGAGGTTGAAGTCCTTTTGGCGAGGGCATGCGCTGCCTTCACTTACAACGACCTCAGGCAGGCCACAAGCAGGCGCAGCACTTGCACAGCACTCTAACCGTGGCAACATGGGATGCCACATGGTCACAAGCCCTTTGGGCCGAGCACCTGCTTCTTGCAGTTCCTTTCGGAGCTTCGCTGCGGCAGCCTCCGTGAGAGTTGGGAGGTCCTTAGCCGACGCTACCTATAGGCCACGAAAAGAATCATGGATGCGACTCAGCGCCTTCAAGGCGTAAGCCCCAGACATCGCTCAACTCCTTCAAGGATGATGTGATCCGATCCACCGACTGTTCTATTGCCTCTTCCTGTTGAACGGGCACGGGCATGCCAGCAAAATCCATGCGCTCTGCCAACATCACCACCTCCTCCACTGCTGTCCGCACTTGCAGGAGCGTCTGCCCCGCAAGCCCGGTGCGTATCTGGGTCGCAAGTACAGCGGTCAACTCCTCAGGAACCTCCATCGCACACACCCTGGCAACCAACGAACTGTTGCTGGTAATCTCGCTGAATGTATCCTCACCTCGGAGATTCATGCGCGCAAGCCTTTTCAGAGCATCTCCGTCTTGGATTTTGGCAGCCAGCAAACCGGTAATGTACACTGCGGTGTTCCATGATTTCTTCAATGTGGCATGTGTTGCCTCCTCAACTGCCACGAGATGCTGGTAGCCGCGGCGCAGCATTGGAAAGCTAATGCCACACGAAGATGTGTAATCACTAAGCAACTGAGCTGTCTCAGAATAGCTCTTGGCCTGCACCTGCGCATCTGACAAGTAGGAGTCAATCGAGTTCCGCAGTGTCCACCAAGCCTCGTCCAACTGAAGAAGGAGGCTAGAGTCAGAAGACTGACGAAGCTCTTCCAGCTCAAGAGCTACGTCTGCCTTGGTCTTTGTGGTATGCGCGAGTGCTTGAAGCTCTTGGTGCCGTTTCCTTGCACGGTGCGAATTCCAGGCATAAATGCCCAAAAGTGTCGACCGCGACAGGGCAAGGTCGTTCAGGTGGAGCACGCTCTCGGCTACGCGGCTTGCCAGTGTGCTCGCCTGAACGGAATCACAAAAAGATTGCAGCTTCCAAAATAAATTTCCAACCCGGTACAGGACCCCATTGCTAAAGCACCCAACGTGATGGAATTCTCGCCTGGTCCTCGCGGCCCTGCCTGTGGAGGTGGCGGAGGACGCCGTGAAACTGCTGGACATTTCTCCACAGCTGCGCCGCTGCAACGGCCGAAATATTGGACTTCGCCACACCCCTTGCCTCTTCAGTGAAGCGTGCAAGTGAACCTGGGAGCTCAAACTGGCAGCACAACAGCTATGTCAGCCATGTAGCTCATGTTCAAGCACCCCGTCGACTGTTACAGGTATCACCAACAGCCAGGAGGCGCGAGATTGCACTTCTGGAACTTGCAGGCAGCTGTGCTCCAGCTATGTCATGCATTTCCTGGAGCGCGCTTGTGACTGCGGCCCTCACGGACGCCAAGCTGCTGCTCCCTTGGTCGGCCAAGAACTCTTGGATTCCATCAACCTTGTCGCCCACAAGTCCTCCAGGGACCGCAGATGCGGATGATGGATGGTCAGCGGGGCTGTGCAAACGGAACCCACCTTCGAAGGACACTTCTTCTCCAGGGGTTCATTGCAACATGGTCATTCCCGTTAGACTCATGTGGGCCAGGAACCTGTGAGCGATCCAACTTCTCACAGCCGCTGAGTGGTTTTGGAAAAAATAAACGCGTCGGTGGCCATACATAGAAACTGCCGAGACAGTACTTGGAGGTTCAGGGTACTTATCACCCCATTTTCACTGTACTTGTAAGGCCCCCAAGACCTCTAAGTAGTAATTAGGTTATAAGTGGACGTATTCTTTTTAAGTTTCCGTACCCATGAACTTCTCAGTATGCTTTCAGCATGCATGTACTTTTGCTCATAAACCGGGAGTTGAGAGGGGTGGGGGCCTGCACAGATTTCTGCCATCCTTTTAGTCCTTGACGCGCTTCGAACATCCCTACCCTCTTGGATTCTCTTCGGGCACTCCAGGATTTCTCAGGGGATTCTCTGGGGTTGGGCATTGCGGGATTCTTGGCACTGCAGGGATTTTGAGGGGAGTGTCTGCATTCTCTGGGGTTGGGCACTCCCGGATTCTTCAGGGATTACCAGGTGATTCTCGGGGTTGGGTGCCGGGAGACCGGCGAGGAGAAAGACCAGGCGAGGAGTGGACCGGAGAATAGCTGCGTGGAAATTAAAACAACCCCACACCGAGGCTGGGGAACAGGTTCAATGGGGCACGGGCAGCAAATTTCACAACCATGCCATCGGTCCAGATGTTGATCGGATATAGACCGTCACACTAGTAACTGAGAAAACAAACTCGCCAAACAAAAAACCCTAGTTTGGAATGGACAGCTAGGGGGATCTACATTTACCTTGCCGTCCTGTGTAGTACTCCATCAAAGCGTCCATGTTGGTGTTCAATGACGACGTTGCTTCCTCGATGTTCTCGTTTATGAGCCTGTCGCCCTCCACCACAGCGTCCTGCGGCAGAACGAAGTAACTGCAACAGGTATGGCTGTGTCGGTTGCTCGTCGCAGAGTCCTTGATGCAATACAAGTCGCAGAAGATCCTGGCCATTGAAGATTTCAGGCCACCGCAATCTGCCTTCATCTCGCCTCAGTTGTTGTAAACTTTGGTCGCTGCCGGCCGCCCCAATAAAAACAGCATCTAGCTTGATGCGGCGATGGTTTGAATTGAGGTTCCACAACGAACCATGCTTGGTTATACTTTTTTCCGGGACACTAATCCGGCGATTCCTGCTGAGCTGTACCTGGATGCCTTGCTGCCGAAGATAATGTGAACAAATTCTATAACAAGCATCGTGTCGGGGCAGGTTCCTGGATTGGTCGGTTTAGGGTTTGAGACTGGGTTTGCGCGGTGATGCAGATACAGGGTGTCAAGAGCTCACTCCTACTTCTGAGGGCGGCGCAAGACAAAGAAAGCAACAAACCATGACGATCGAATTCATACACGAAACAGGACAAAATCAGCAAATTACCAAAAAACTGCGTGTTTTTTTGCCAAGCTTGTGCTTTTCTGCATTGCGTACATAATCGTGATGCCCCAGGTATCCCCTCCTTTTGCGGTGGTGGCGGGGTTTGGGGTTTGTGATTTGGGGTTGAGGGGTTGAGGAGTTGAGGGTTTAAGCGTTGTGGGGTTAAGGGTTTGGAAGCTCCGGGTTCGGGTTTAGGGGTCCAGGTTGCGCTGGTTTATTAGAGTTGAGGGTTACAAAGTTTGCGCTGCGGGGGCGGGTCGATATCGAATTCAGAAATGAACAGCACATGTCATCTAGCATGATTTTTACCAGGCCACCGAGGTCTCAACACCCGAAACCAAAGCCTCTGTTGTGGGAAACAGCGCCTTTGTTTCTGTGGCTGTCACGCGGCCAAGATTTGATCGTAAAAAGCTGATGCTTTCGACCACTGGCACGGCTACCGCTACTACTGATACCACTGGGGTTGCAATGCTGCCAAACACAGTCTGCCGACACGTGGCGCCGATATGTTCTCTTGAATTTCAGTGCGGCAAACTCTTGCGCTGCTGCCTCCGTGGCGGACACGAGGCTCGCCGCCGTCTCGCAAAGGGCAGGAATTTTCACCTTTTCGCCAAATCCCCCAGGTGCCGTGACTGGGCCGTCAGGCAACCAAGCACAACCATACGACGCAATAGACGTCACCAACTTGATAGCGCCAATGGAGAGCTTGGTCTTTAGATCCTTTATGTCCAGGCCATAGTCTCGCGCCATCTGCGGGAGGGTGGACATGTGGGTTTGCTAGATGCTGCCTATGCTGGTACTCTTCTTCGGTGGCAACTTGCTCGCTGACTCGTGGGGAATGCTCAGTGGCTCAGTGATTGCAAAATCCGCCGAACCCCCCAGGGGGGGAAGGCGCCAGTGAAGCCTTAGCTTTTTCCGTTTTTTTCGTCCCCACCCTGACGAAGCCCCGCCTTCCTTCCTTAATAACCACATCACCCTCCCGATAGTCTGTCCCCATGCTGGAGATCCCTTGATACATGATGCACCAGAAACCTTACACAGCGTGCCCTATGACACGGGGAACAATATTATGGGGATCCTGTTCTACTTGTCTCGCACATCACGCCCTTGACCACGCACAACTCGAAGATCCTCGTACATTCGCTGCGATTCAGCCGGCACCATCGCATGGCGGACTCTTGCTGTGGCCTGCACCCTCTGCGGATGCAAAACAGATGACTCCCTCTCTGCCCTCAGACCCCCGTTCTGTAAACCAGAACCATGGCTTCGCCAAATGCCTGTCGCTAATTTTGCAGAACTATGCAACTATGAGAAGCTGTCAGATGCAAACAACCATGTATCAGTGAAAGAACTGTCCTCGTCTAGCTTTCGGGATAGTTGTTTTGCACTGTGCCATTGCCAAAACTAAAACGGGAGCCAACACTGCAATGCTGCGACAATTTAGCCTGGCCTCACGCTTGAAGCAGCCAAAAATGTTCTCGTAGGTATACCCAGCTTGATGTCCGAGATCTTCTTCTTCCCCTTCCGTATTCATGCTGTAGGCCCACCAACCAGCTTTACCCTGCTCCATGTTCTCATTCGCCTCGCTCACGCTCTTGGGCAAGTTCATGGAGACGTAGTGACATGGATTCTCTTTGGAAAGCACTGCAAAGTTGTCATATATCAGAGCTTTACACTCAGGCTTTTGCTTGTACTGCTTCGCTGTGAACTCGATCAGTTGCGGCTTTTGGCGCTTCGACTTCATCTTGCTTCCCTTGCCTTCGAAATTCCCATCGAAAGGTCTCGCTGCCACCACCTGCCAATGGGATGACCTCCCGGACCAACTGTTTAGGTCATCACTTTGAGGACCTGGGTCCTCCAAAGCCTCTCCATCATCGCCGATGGGAAACTCAGTGCGAACCCGTGCACATGTTGGCAAAGGCGTGCTAATTAGTTGCCTGCCGGGATCATCCGAGTTGCAGTCGGCCGCCACGGCGAGCACCTCCTCCCTGCAAACGCCGTGCAACGCCTCTGCCTGCTCAGGAAAACCAGTCCCCGTCGCGTTAACGTTGAATTTGACTCCTCTGTCGTCGGTATTGAGGAAGCACCGAGTAGAATCGTTTCGATAAGCATCCCCGAGCCAGACGAGGCCCAATGCCTGTCAACTCAGTCTGGAGCAGAAAGCAAAGCCCCCTGAATATCCCCCAGCAACCCAGCTTGGATTCAACGCTACTTCAGGCTAGTAATGGTTGGTGCCCGTATATACTGCCCCAAATGCCCGCAGTGGCTCACCTTCGCAGCCTTCTTGCACTCATTCTGGCCAGCAGGATTGGTTGCGCCCGTGCATCCCTGCCCCGGTAGGGACATAACGTAGCCGCCAGCAGAAAGGGTGAACTTCGGGGTCCTCGCCTCCGCGCAGAGCCCTGGCGTGGCGGAATGAATGAGCGACAGACGTCCTTCGAGGTCAATGTGCAACCTCTGCATTTGTGCATCCGTCGCAGTTGTCTGATTCATGACGCCGGCACATATCTGTTCACCTGCACGCCCAAATCTGACAACTCTGGAGTCAAGAGCAGTGACTAGATAGTGCTCGTCAACCCATCGCCAGTGTTGCCTCGATTCGGACACGTTGCACTCTCTGAAGACCAGCGGAAGACACGACGCAGAGATGTTCCCACCATTCTCGTCGACCATCAAGCACATGCCATTGCTTTGCACAAGGCTCTGGCCAAGCGGACACCAGGCACCTTTCGCCTGCCGGCAGCATGGGCGCAATAGCACGCACAAGGCACGAACACTAAGCGCTTCAAATCGTTAGAACATCAACGACAATCAACGACAATAGGCGATAACAGCCCTCAAGTGCCCTTCTGCGTCACCTTCAATCAGCACTAGCTGGCAACAGTCAAAGCAGTAGAAGTAACGACGTTGGTAACGGTGTTGGATGTTGATGATGATGGTGATGATGACGAGGAGGAGGGAGGACGACGAACATGATGACTTTGATGACCATGCGATGTGGCAGGGGTATCCAAGGTGACCACTTTTTCGGCTCCAGGGAGACCGTTCCAGGGAGACCGCTTTTTGGGGCTTGTGTCGCTCCCCCATTCCCCCCCGCTTCCTCACACAATGCTTGCATGGGCTTGAAACAGATTCCTCTGCCTTGAAGAAAGCTGTCACGTTCAAAAAAAAACATGGGGAGCTTGGGGGGGGAGGGAGGGGGCAGCCGCCCCCGATTTGCAGACACAATGCCCGCGCTTCAAGACGAGTCATATGCTTTGAAGAAAACATCACAAGTACAGTTTAGGATCAAGCGCACTTACACTGCTGGTGCTTTCCGGCACGTTTGGGGTTACAGTCAAGAACCGTGGACTTGTTTCCTCTGCCCCCCCCCCCCCCCTGCCCCTGCCCCAGTCCAAGTGAAATCACAGCATACGACAAGATCGCCGCAACAAAAAACGGTCAAAGAATTGCGTCAAACAAACATGAAAACGGTTCACCCTCGGACTCGGCCAGCTCTCTTTTTTAAAGGATGCTCCGCGTTTCAGGAAAAAAATCACCCAGGACAAAACAACACGGGCCACACTCGACCTAGCTCCCACGGTGGGAGTGTGGGTGGTCAGGAGGGATGGTGACTGCCTGGGTGGTTGCTGCAGTGGTTCGGGTTGTCCGTAGTTCCTTGTCAAAAGATACAGAAACTTGAAGTAGCTCTGTTGATCAGTGTCTACTGGCTTGGTTAATCACGCTTGAGAAGCAAAGCCATCGAATGATGACTTCAGTCCCGGAGGTGTTTGGACTTGGACCACCCCATGAGACTTGCGAGGCTTCGGACGTTCCAAAGATTCGAAAACAATACCACCCCGTGATTGGCCACATGTGTGTGCATCAGGAAAACCATACCTCACCATTGTGATTTGCGACATTTTCTTATGTTCTGGAGACACGACAAACTTCGGAATTCAGTCTTAGATTGGGTCGGGCTTTGAATTACAGGACTTAAGACAAGAAATCAACGGTGACGCTTTTTAAGCTCCCGGACATTTAAACAGATAAAACAGATACCGCATACTACCTCCGAGGCAGTCGTCAAAGGGCCGCCAGACTTGTTTGGTGTGGACCGGAAGACAAGTTGTGTTTGGTGTGGAGGGCTGGACTGGCCTCTAGCCCTCCACCCTCCAACCCTCCAGCCCTCCCTCCAGCCCTCCAAGCGCCCCCTCAGTTCTCCAGCCCGGCTCGTTATAGGGTTGGAGCAATTTATGAAGAAATTCAGGGTGCCCTCTTTTGTTTTTTTTCTGTGTTTTCCGAATGTTGCGGAGAAGGGTTCTCGTTTTAAAGTTGGGGGGTCTGGGGGTCAGGAGGTGACCAAAGTCGTTGCGTTTGCGTCCGCAAGCATTCGCAAGCATCCTGTTCACAAACAGTCGCGAGTGTCGCGCACCTCAACCGACCCCCCGACCCCCCCCCCCCCACCCCTCCCTCCCCACCCCCGCCAATTGCGACCACCCGCCCGTGTCATGCGTTAGTGTCGTATCGTGTCTTCGTCTTCGTGTCGTGGTTTTGTGTCGTGTCCTTGTGTCGTGTGCTCGTGTCGTGTGCTCGTGTCGTGTCGTGTCCTCGATCGTGTGGTGTCTTCGCATCGTGTCATGTCTTCGTGTCGCATCGTGTCTTCGTCTTCGTCTTTGTGTCGTGTCCTCGTGTCATGTCTTCGCGTCGTGTCTTGTCTTCCTGTCTTCGTGTCGGGTCCTAGTGTCGTGTCCTCGTGCGTGCTTTCGTGTCGTGTCATGTTTTCGTGTCGTATGGTGTCTTCGTGTCGTATCGTGTTTCGTGTCTTCCTGTCGTGTCATGTCTTCGTCTTCACGTCGTGTCTTCGTTTTCGTGTCGTGTCCTTGCGTCCTGTCCTCGTGTCGCCTCTGCACGTCGTAGCTTTTTTTTGTCAAAGTTGGTGACACATGTCTGCATTCAGGTTCGTGGATCCTATCCGTTTATATTTATCTATATTTGTTTATTCTTTTCATTTTTTTTTTTGGGGGGGCCTTCGTTTTCAGAAATCAACAGCACCGTGACCTGGTATTTTAGCTTTCTTATCCTGCACTGACACAGTGCCACTCAGGTCTCGTGTGCACAAAACTCAGTCAGTGCTATACGCAGCGACGAAGGTTAGCTCAAAACGACGCGCCGAGACACGCCATGATCAGCGAGAAAAACGGCGCCCCACGCAAGGTTTTGCGACACAAAGCGCCCCACGCCCTAGGTCTTGAAACGCGGCCATCACCGAAAGGCCGAGAGGGGTGTCACTTCTGAACAAAAGTCGGTGCCGCACACAGATTTTTGCGTTGCGGCCCATGAAAAGGGATTCGTACGAGTACTGAGTAGATAGAACGATAAATGACCTTACAACCGATCCCAAATCCAGGTGGAACGTCCCGCTCGTGCAGAATGCGCAATTCTCCCGCCTTGTCATAGAGAATGCGGCCATCGAGGATGGTCTGTCTGGAGCCGAACGAGCTGCGCTGCGTGTATCGCAGGCGCCCAGAGATGTCTCGCGAGTGGGGGCAGTACAAACCTTCTCAAGACAGACCGGCAGTCACGTGTCCGGATGGCGTCACTGCCATTGGAATAGCGCTGATTGCACAACAGGTGTACCGGAAGCGCAACCAATCTCCCGCGCTGGACATTTCTGGAATGGCCTTCTGTAGGCCCTGCGATGCACTGCAATTCATCCGTGCTCGGCTCAATTGATGGGCTTCATCCACTTGCGGCGTGTAGTAGTCCATGCATTCTCCCATGCCGGCCATTGCCGAGCACGCGTAGGTCATCTTTAATGTACCACGCTCCTTCTTCATCGACGTGAGCAACTCACTGCTGTTGCAGCCGAAGGGCTGCATGCTTGTCAAAATGTTTTTGTCCAAAGCTATCTTGCCCTCCACAGACCTTGGCCGTCCCAAAGCTGCAGCAATGGAGCATACTGTTCCAACGGAAGTTGCTTCATCCGTCGGGAATGTCAACACTTTCAAAGGGAAGTCGCCGCAGTCGACATTCGCTGTCACATCCAGCAAGTGCAGCCACGTCTGTTGGCCGTTGGACTCTGATTCTCCCACCCGCGTCATCAAACTGTTCGTCAGGTCCGAAAGCATTGTTGCAGTGATCTGCGCAGTGTCGAACTCTTGCCTCCCCTGTTGCGGAGAACAGGGCACAGTAACAAAGGAGTTCGTTGACACCTCCAAGCACTGAGAGCGCCTCTCAGAAGATCGAAGTCGCCAGATGTGTCCACTGCTGGGATCTGGAACCTCTGGCAAGAAGCCTCCAGGACCAGCTCTCTCCGCTGGAACTTGGCAAAGCTGCGACTCCTGTTGCTGCAACTTGCGATAGCACTTAGACCCGTCATCATTGGAATCGGGGCTGGGGTCGCTGACTTCTGCGTAGAATGTGCAGGCATAGATCCCCCGTGGCATGAGGTTGCGAGTGGGTTGGTAATTGAGAGAGAACCCTCCGCACTGCTGCTGCTGCCAGCAGTGGAGAGCGCACCTAGCCACACATGAGATTCCCTCGCCTGTCCCGCAGTCAGCGTCGATCCCCGCCCCACTGCACTTACCTGAGTAACTGGAACCAGGCACCAACACCATCTCGAAGCCAACAAGGACATCTGGCTCATAAATTGTGGTAGTCGTCGTTGTGGTTGTAGTAGTGGTCGTTGTTTCTGCTCCCCAGCAGAAGGAATTGTACGCCACACCATCACTAAAAGACGGACCCACTTCGGGAAACTTGGAATGAAATGTGCATTTCCATTTTGGTTCCGGTGTTGCCCACCCCGAACAGCCGTTGGGGTGGGAAAAACAACACCAGTCTCTCGGCCAGCAATAATCAATGCCTACATAGGGGCTGCAGCTCCATGTCTCACAACATTTGTGTTCATAGCATGATCCACCATCCGGAGGGCACGGTATGCACGTGTCTTCTCCACGCCAGGCCCTGAAACTGTAGCCTCTGCAATGCGGAAGCTTCTCACATTTATCCCGGCAATCTTGCCAATCCTTGGCATAGAGCGCCGTATTGTTCTTGTCTTCAGCATCCTCCGTCGTGTTGAGGATGTTTTCATCTTCGCATGGGTTGTACGGGCTTACCTGCTGCCAATAATATGGAGAACCCGAAAGCTCAGAGACCGCACTTGTGCGGTTTCGCCTCGCGGCTTTAATGCAAAGCTGCGCCGCGTAGTCCGGTTCCAAGTCAGAACCCTGATCTGAATAGCCTGGGTCCAGGATGATGTTGTCGCCGGATGGTGCGCTCATGGCCCGCGGGCTTGCAACCCGCACGGCCTCAGTCATGAAAGTGCCCGCCCTGTTCCAGGGACAAAGGGACAATTTGGCAAAGGCGTCAATGCAGACTCCAGATGCGCTTAGAAATCCATCTGGGCTGGCGCACCACCTCTGCCTTGAATTGGCCACGCAATCTCCTGACACAAGCTTGTCTGCGGCAGTAAAGCTGGCCCCGCCGGCCGTGACGCATTTGGTCTGGAGAGAAGCAAAGACCACACCGGCATCGTCGGCTTTGCCCGTTTTGCTTGCATGGAAGAGCTGGGCAGAATCGTCGGCGTTCCGGGGCGACATGTGGAAGCCTGCATCAGAGGTCGTCCAGACTCTTCCTTGGCAACCAAAGACAAAGTGACTAAGGCAAAAAGAACCCTCATTCGATCACGATACTTGCTGCGCATTTCTTCCAATGTGAAATAAAAAAACCTCGAAAAACCACCCGGGGTTCCATCTTGACCATGGACTCGGAGGCTGCCCGCCCACTCCTTTCGTGGCCGTCCGAATTCAGAATAAATGACATGCGCAGGCACAACTCTATCCTCATCGAGCATACTGCGAACTTCAACAAGCAGGCCAGGACATCTAGTGTCCTTCCCCCCTGACAATGGGCCAGAATTTTCTGGTGTGGGGAGAAAGAATAACTTTCTGAAAGTTGGGATCCCCCGGGGAACCTGGCCGAACGGCTTGCAGGAGGATTTTGAGAACGAATCCTGGCTTTGGCTTTCCTTCATCTGCGACGCGCGCGCTAGACGGCGTTGGGCCAGCCCGCCTAAGAAGGCCGCGCGCGTGCGTGCGTGCGTTTGCAATTTATAAACGAGATTCACAGCGAAGAGGCCCTGCCTTGGGGTTGATTGTGGCCTCGACGAGCTGGCCCGTCTGATCAATCATTCGTGGCGCCTTCAAGTCGACCAGCACCTGGTGCTCGTGCCGCCTGACGAAGTACAGCCTGCAAGTCTGTTCAAAGCAGCATGTGAGCGCTCGATAACCCTGCAACGGAAGAATCACGACAAGCCGCACAAAAAAAAGGAAGAAGCCTCCTGGTTGGAGGATGCGCTGCTTGGTTCTCACTGTTTCTTTGGCACAAGCGTGTTGTTTGTTTTTGTCGTGGCATGTTGTGAATGTAGAAGAACCTCTGGGGCATCTGGAACCTTAGTGACCTGCAGGGCTCATCTTGTCGTAGCGATTCTCTGGGCATTTTCTGGTACTTGGAGTGAGCACGCGTAGCGTTGATGCTAAGCTTACTTTGGCGCCAGGGCGCTCTTGCTTCTCTGCTTTCTGCAAGTCTGCGTACGGAGCACGCACCAGCTGCACGCAGGCTGCACAAGCAAAGCTGGATGCTGCCACCCAATCTCCCCCAGAGCAGGTGAGCTGGCTGCGCTCCCCATGAATCTGTCCGAAAAGTCCTTCTCTCGGAACAGCTGCATAGAATTCATGCCAGCAGGACAGCTCCAATGTTGCACCGGCTTTGAAGACGCCTTTCAAAGGCTTCTTGTGCTGCCAGTAGTGGGAGTTTGAAAGAGAATAATCGCATGTACCACATGTCTCAACACCGACGCCGCCAAGGAGGAGCTTCCAGTCGCAAAGCTCCAGCAAGTCTTGGAACAAGCACCGGCCGCCAGGCTGCTTTTCAGGCAAGTAGCACTGCCACGCCGTGCCTTGCTTGGCGGCATCTGCACAGCCGCTTGCTCTGCACTCCGTTAAGGGCCGACCGCTGGGCCGCCGAAGCGGCGGCGCGACTTCACAGGCCCGGTCATCCAGCACCTGTACCGACGAAACCTGGAAATCAAGTGCGGAAAGTGCGGAGGCATCCATTGACGTTCCTGGCGAAAGTGACTGCGCCATGCCTGTGAAGCCCTGACCTCGGCTGTTCTGTTGAATTGGTCAGCTGTGGTCCCTCCCTCCCGTATCCTCCCGTGCTGTCCCGCGATACGATCACTTCAAGCTACACAGGCTGCCTTGGATCTTAAGTGCCAGACCTTGATAGAGGGTCGCTGAGCACAGCGGCCCACCAAGCAGTTCGAGGGAAAGGACGTGCCCTCCGATCTCGGCGAGGGTCGCGTAGGAGCCCGAGCTGAGCGTGAGAGTCCTCCTGTAGTCAGCGCAGCCGGATCCTGGGCACTCCGTGTAATGGAAACCAAGGCAGGAGTCCGAACGCCCCTCATACAGGCCGGAGTTGTAGAGGCCGCTTTCTGCCCCGTGCTCCGATGCACAGCACGAGTCGAAGTTCATCTTTGGGCGGTAGGCCCACGGGTGATGACTGGGGCATCTTGGCTCTTCCGGCTCGATCTGCACACGAAGCCCGCAATGGGCGCAGCAAAAGGCGCCCATCTGCGATCCGCAGTCGGTCTGGTGGAAGCCGTCGGCATCTTGAGTCCCACAAACGTCCTGCAGAAAAGCCGTCTTGGCATTGTCGACAGGGCGGGCCCTCGCGACGCGGAGGTCGAAGGAGCTGCAGAGCCAGCGCCCGGCTGCCGTGCACCCGGCCTCTGCCTCGGTCCGGTTGTTGAAAGCGCCTGCGACAAATAATGGCTCCGGGGACTCGGAGCCCGCTGTCCTCTGTGGGCTCAGGGCCGTTGCGCTGAGCATGGACCGGCGCACTGTGCTGGTCCAGCAGGCCTCCGGGTCAGACTTCTTGCAAAGCGACGTTCTGGGAGCCCAGCCATACAGCTCGCCCTCTGAGCCCATTTCTCGGACCAGGAGGTTGCAACGGCTGTACAGTTTGCACTGAGAGGGCCCTGACATTCCTGCGCCTGCCCAGAAGAAGGCGCAGGATGTGTTCAGACGACATGCTGCTTCGCACAGCTGGAATGGCGGCTCCCGCACATCCAGCTGCAGGACGGACAACAGTCCATCTTGGCTGCAGGAAAACGACCCGTGCACGATCAAGACTTTATCACTCATGCTCGGGCCAAACGGGCTCTCCTCCTCCTCGCCCCAGCCAGGCGGAAGGCATTCGCACGGATGCAAAGAGAGGTCGGCAGGCTCGAGTGTCGAGAGATCATCCACGACGATTGCAAGAGTTGGCTCTTCCTGTCGCTGTCAGGATTTCGGGGGCATTGGCGGATTGAGAACTGCTGGACTGTGAACTCCCAACTCCAAACGCAGCACATTTTACAAGTAAAAAAGAGCAAAAGGTACCTAAAAAGCCGAACCCAGGAACGGCTCCAGGATCACCATCAGGGGAGAGGGCTGTCAGGTTGGGCTCTGCGCAGTCTGGGTTGTGGAGCTCAACGTACAGGTCCGCGGAGTTCTCCCCCACGAACGTCTTGTTGTTCACAAACGACACCTGCTGCTTGCCGTTGTCAAAGATGGCCGAGATGAAATCTCCACCCCCTTCAGGCCGAACGCAAGCCAGACTCTCCCCATGCAACTCTACTCGGGAGTTGTTCACATCTGGGTCAGCGAAATCGGTGGAGGGGTCCGGACGCCGCAGCATGAAGTCTCCGTGCTCGCAACTGATTCCATCCACTCCTGAACGAGCGTTGTAAGAAGCCAGGTACTGAGCGTCCTGCTGCGTGACCCCCGTGGCCAGATAGACCACATCACTCTGGCTGTCAACGCCGGCTGGACAATAGACACCGGCATAGAACTGGTTGGCGGGGTTGTTGAAGTTGATGCAGGTCTCGCGCTCAGAACATCGGGGGATCTTCTCTGTCACAACTCCATGGTCCACACATGTGCTATAGCCGCTTAGACAGCGAGCCCGCAAGAACAGACAGCTGGAGGTCCCAGCGGTCTCGTTGAACCTTTGCTGGTGCTGGGCGGAAGCCCGCAATCAAAGTACAATATAGTAGTTTAGTTGAACAGGCAAACAGATTTATAGTGGATGCAGCATCAAAGGACACACCGAGGCACCTGTAGTGCGAGCAGTTCGCCATGCTCCGGCAGGCAGATTTGCACTTGCTGGAAGAGTTGGCATCCACCTGCTCTGAAATCTGCCACTCGCTCGACGCCAATGGCTTCCAGCAGGTGTCATCAAGTAGCTCAATGGATATCCGTCCGCTCACCGTAATTCGATGGCCGACTCTCCAGTCGTAATGGCCGAACACTGTACAATTCAATGACAGGCTTCTGCGCTGTGTGCTATCTCTATCAAACACGTAAGACAAACTCGAATTTGCACGCGAGACCAAGATGCCAGTGGAGGTATCCAACACGAATGCCTCATGACCATCGAGTGTGGCTTGGCCTGTCAACACATCGAACTTGAAGGCGACATCAGTGTTGTCAGATGGACATGCTGCGGTGAAGCTGGTGGGAGGCAAGCTCCATGCCCTTGGAAGAGAGTCCATCGGAATTGTTGGGGGCGAAGCAACGCCTATGGTCTGCTGAATTGTCGACCTGCTCCAAGACACACCAGCCCAAGGTTCTGGCATTAGGATGAGAAGCCAAACGGAAACCTTCTCAGGCATCTCAGACTGCATCTTCTCCCAAAGGACGCGGCACTTCATCCCCTTTCCTTGCGAAAGACCAACACTTGGTTCACGTATGTCAGTGAGGCCATAAGTATTGTTTTTCACCTGTTCTGGCAAGATGGTGATGACTCCTGTTGCATCATCGAGGATCAGCCATGGGGTGTCTTCAGACGGAAGACAGTTCATGGAGAAAACACCGCCGCTAAGATTCATGCTTGCACTCGGAGAGAAAGATAATTCCCCGGACTCACCTGACTTATCTGACTCGATCGGCACGAATAGGACGTTGTCGTCACCGTAGACGAGCCTCTCTGCGCGCACATCGAGCGCGGCGGTGAAGTTCAGCTCTTCGTTCTGATGGGCCGTGACGGTGCAGTGAAGAGTGAACGGCTCGGAGGAACCGCAGCCAACTCGCGAACAGTCCTGTCCACAAAACGCGTTGAGACACTAAGGCTCAACCCCCCCCACCGAAACACAATGGCAAAACGCCATGAGATGGTTTCACATGGCCGGCCTTCGCGAGCTCTACTTCGCCCGTTGTGGCGTTCAAGGTCAGGTTGTAGTCCAGAAGCGGGCAGGCCTGATCGATCGAGTAGTGGCTTGCCGTTCGGGGAATGGGCCTGCCCAAAGGTCCTGTGACGCTGGCATCTTGACCCAGGACCAAAGTTGGCGTGAAGTACGCGAAAGAGGTTGCTTGGCGATGCCCCCCTCCACACTGACAGCAAGCCATGTTTGAAGAGAGAAAATGGAAGTCCTCGTCCGTGCACTCTGCTTTCTCCAACTGCACGCATGTCTTGCCATCTTTGTTTATCCAGGCTGGTGTGTCCATGCAGGCTTCACAGCGGGTGTCCCTGGAATCGCTCGAACCGCCTACGTTGATGAAGCCGCCTGAGCACTGGTCACAGCCGTGCTGAGAACCATTGCCGCAACCGGCGCACCAGAGTTCTGCTGCTGGGCAACAAGTGGTGTCACAGCCCGAATCTCCACAGCTGGTGATAGGGACTTCGGCGGCTGTGCACGTGTGAGTGGTTGCCCTCGTTGTCCCAGCTGTCAGCAAGCTTGAGTTTGGCTGGCTTGGGGTCCACAGACGGTGCCCCTTGAAGCTTTGGCACAGCTCAAACCCATGTGCATTCTCAAGAAAACCGGCAACGCATAGAGAAATCCAAATCCACGCGGCTCCACCTGGCAAACTTGAGCTCATTGTCGCGCTAAGTCACGACGACAAAACAACTGGGAAGCGGGCCGGTTCGGGTACGTCGCGATGCGCCCGCATGCGCCATGTAAAGGGGACCTCGGATGCAAGTCTGCGAAACAACTGCAACATGCGGGGTGTCGAAGTCTCATCATGACTCGACTCAGGCGGCAACAGACAGCAAAGCCCAGGGCGCAAATCAGCCCAAGTGTCGAGCTTTTGTCGGACACTGGCGGCCGCGGACAGAAGTCTGCAACGTGGGGTGTTCGCATGGCGCTCCCAAGATGCAAGCGCAGACAGCGCAAACCACAAAGTGGTTCGAACGATGTGGGGTTTACAAAAATGGAGGTCTTCAAGCCCCAAACTAAACCCCAAACCCGAAAACGGAAACCAAACCCTCAACCCGCGAGGGCTTCAGTTCCCGGCGAAAGCCGTGGGGACTGGACTCGTAACTTAGGAGTCCACACCCTTTAGAACCCCCCCTCCCCAGAGCCCTTCAATCTCCTTTGGGGACGAAACGAACCCGGAACTGGTGGGGGCTGATATACCCCCCTATACTCTAGTGGTATTCCACTTAACGTCTTTGGAACCACACCCCCCTGTGCGGGGCGCAAACATTCTTTTGCACCCGGTGCCGAACTTGCTGGAAGGGGCCCTGCATATGACACCTCGATCTTGGGATGTTCCCCCTTATACTGAATAGGGATTTGTAGTAACCCCCTATGTTTGTGAAAGGGGGAACATCCCAACCTCGATCACATGAAGCGGACGACGACAACTTTTGTCTCTGCGCTGCTGCCTGAATTGGACGAGGACATTTGTGAGATCAAGTGGCAAGGGGCACTCGGCAACAAAAGGCTGCCCTTCCAAATCTCGGAGTTGGATTTGTCGACAGTGCAGGAAAAGTCGCGGACAGCCAGGAAGAACTGACTCATCTCGCAAGCCTTGCTGATGCTTCTGTGACAGATGCTGATCCTGTTTGTTGCTGTTGAAGAGTAAGCACAGGCATGCGCAGCATCATCATGCAGAATGCGGACTCCTGCCAAGCCAAGCGGCCGTAGCTCAAGTCACCAATCAGTGGACGACCGATGCCTGTCAGGTCTTTTTTCGCATGATTACAGACTTGAGTAACGACAGTACGAGAAACGCTTGACTTCTGCAAAAGGGTGCTGCTGAGCCACTTGCCAAGTGAACTCGAATCTGATGGGTGCGCCCAGTAAGTGGCTTTGCCAGCAAGAACATGACTTCCATGCCACGGCGGATGGCGAACGTCTCCAGAACCTTCTGTAAGTCAGCATCGATCGAAACCCTATGCCACCCTCCACAGCTGTTCCACAGCACAAGCACATGAGGGGCTGAGAATCTCGCCTCAAACTTCGTGCAGGCAGGCCTACCGTGTTGAGAAACCACGGTCCGGCTGAACTGACGGCCAAGATGGCCTACTTCAGTTGTCTGCAGCGGGCTGTCGATTTTGCCAGTGCTGCCCACAGCGCCCAAAGATGGACCCTCGCAGAGGCAAAGATACTCCTGTCAGCTGCCACACGCTGACTTATGACAATGAGGCACAGAACTCATGCATGCTGCACATATCATCTAACGATATGATAATGTATTTTAACAGTGTCATGGTATTATAACATATATGCAACAGTCGAAGTAAGGCCCCCCCGATCCTTGTCCACTAGCCTTGCCGCAAATTGTGCTTGGAGCCACTGTGCAGGAAGAGAACCCTCGGAGCCCAGGGGCAAGGGCAGCACGCCAGACGTAGGATGATCCAAACGCGATACCAGGCACACTCTGCCTGAGAGCACGATTCATCTCTTCTCGAGGGTTAGGGTTTAGGGTTTAGGGTTTAGGGTTTAGGGTTTAGGGTTTAGGGTTTAGGGTTTAGGGTTTAGGGTTTAGGGTTTAGGGTTTAGGGTTTAGGGTTTAGCGTTTAGGGTTGAGAGTTCAGGATCACAGGGCTCAGCCGGGCTTGCCTTGGACCAGCTCCTCTGTTCGAATGCCAGCAGGCTTCGCCACCGCAATGATGCCAGTAGCTTGCTTCAGCATCTCGGCCTGCAACCGGCAGCAGGCAAGCTGATGGCCAGTAGCAGAAAGCAGCGGTTTAGGGTTTAGGGTTTAGGGTTTAGGGTTTAGGGTCTAGGGTTTAGGGTTTAGGGTGTGGGATAACTTGCATGACAGGATCTTGATTGCCGCGCAACATCAGATTCCGTCGGCTTCCCAATCGGGCAGACTAGAGGCTAGATAGGGGTTTCCGACATTGGCGGTACCTTCTTGGGGGTCCTTATTATAAGGGAATCCTACTCTTTGGGGGTCCCCTATTCTCGTAAACTCCCAGATCATGACATGTGTGCCTGGATGGCCCCTGTGCCACGTAGCTCATGTGTAATGAGTCTCTGGGGACGAAAGTTAATCCCTGCTTGAACATCGCATGTCTTCAATCCCTACGACAGGAATGCCCGCCTAAACCCTAAATCCCAAACCCGAAGCCCTAAACCCCTATCTTCGGAAACGCTCATCCACGGGTGCCTATAAGAGTGTAGCTCATGCTGACGCGCTTCTCTGCGTGCCCACAAGGGTGCCGTGCTGCGTCTAGGACCCTCATTTAGAGGATCTGGGGGTTGTACCTGGGACCCCTAAGGTTGTACCCTTGGGTTTTGGGGCCCCATTTTAAAGGTCCTTAAGGTATTCTAAGGGCAATATTAGGAGTGCATTAAAGGGAACCTGTAGGGGCACAACCTTAGGGGTACGAGTCTTAATTCCCTGAGAGAACTAACCCCAGAACAGTGCCTAAACTCGAAACCCTAAACCCTATAAACCCTAAACCCGAAACCCTAAACCCTAAACCCGAAACCCTAAACCCGAAGCCATAAACCCTAAACCCTAAACCCTAGACTAGATGGCCTGGATCATGGCGGCCAGCTCCCAAGAACCCATTCCGGAGTGTGTCAGTTGCCAGCGGCTGCGGAGCTTGTCAAGCAGCTCCTCAGTCAGCTGTCTATTGCATGTCGGCTCTTCTATGGAAACCCTAAACCCTAAACCCTAAACCCTAAACCCTAAACCCTAAACCCTAAACTCAGGAGACAGGCAATTTCTTCTGAGTCTCGTTGGCAGCTTCAGCGCCGAGCCCTTGCCGAACTGCATTGGCGGCTGACCCTAGAAGTTGAGCAGCCCAAGGTTTAGGGTTTAGGGTTTAGGGTTTAGGGTTTAGGGTTTAGGGTTTAGGGTTTAGGGTTTAGGGTTTAGGGTTTAGGGTTTGGGGCTTAGGGTTTAGGGTTTGGGGCTTAGGGTTTTTACAGGTTTAGCGGGTTTCAGGATGGCTGGATTTGAGAGCACGTCCTGCTGCCCAGCAATCGGGCGTGAAGTTCTTCTGCCTTGGCTGTGGCAAAGGAAAGCGTGAAAGCGGAGCATTTAGCGTCCCACCGGTTTAGGGTCTAGGGTTTAGGGTTTAGGGTTAATATGCATTCCGTAGCAATCCCGTCGTTTCGGGTTTAGGGTTCAGGGTTTAGGGCTTAGGGTTTAAGGTTTAGGGTTTAGGACAAGCAGCATCATGTCTTGAAGCAGGGCGATGGCCGATACCCAGGCACCACCTTCTCCACAAGCCATCAATGCAGCACCGTAGTTTGCCTCACTTGGCCGCACCTCCATGCGGGGAATGCTCCGGGTGGCTTGTGCGACGTGCTAGGCCCTGATGCTACTTAGCGCTTGTCTGACATTGCCTCCACAGGGCTACTCACGAGCTGACTAGGGTTTTGGGTTCAGGGCCTTCAGGGTCCAGGGTTTAGGGTGCCTGAAGATTGGCAAGGTCCTCAAAGATGCCAAGAGCATCGCGCCATCTACCGGCTTTGTGGCAGACGCTGATCCCGAGCGTGCAGGCGATTTCGTCCAGAACCCTGGCGACAGCCATGTCCTCCAGGTGCCATCGAATGAAGCACTACCGATGGTTTAGGGGGTTTAGGGATTAGGGCTACAGGCAGAACAAAGCATCGACGCTGAGTCGCTAGTCGAAGGTTAAAGACCACGTGCATCGTACCTCGAGTACTACTAGTACTTCTGCTTGTGGCGTGAGCCCTTGTCAACTTGCTTTGCCCGAACCTGCTCGCGCTGTGAAATAGTCCGGCGACCCCTGTGCCATCAGACAGTGAAACGTCGAGAAGATTTGAAGGACTTAGGTACGCACCCTATAGAATCACTTAAAGGGCTTAAACCCTGAACCCTGAACCCTGAACCCTAAACCCTAAACCCTTACTGTACGCGTTTATTTATAAGGGGATATACTGTGCCCAATTCCTCTCTTTGCCCCCCAGCCAAGCTCCTCCAGAAGTTGCAAACCTGCACGGTGTGGTGGAACTCGTGGGCTCTAAATACAGCTGTGAAAGGGGTAAAGATTGCCACCCTAAACCCTAAACCCTAAACCCTAAACCCTAAACCCTAAACCCTAAACCCTAAACCCTCCACGCCTTCCCTCCAGCAGGCTGCTTTTTCGCAGGCACCCAAGCCCGCGGAAAAGCAAGCTGAGTCGGGGGAGCCGTGCATCTCCTGGGACCGACTCTCTGAAGTTAGGGTTTAGGGTTTAGGGTTTAGGGTTTAGGGTTTAGGGTTTAGGGTTTGCGGTTTAGGGTTAGGGGTTTAGGATTTAGGGCTTGCATGGGTTTAGGGTATACAGGGTGTTTGCAGGGCTTAGGGTTCAGAGTAGTTTGGGGTTGGGCTTCAAAAACATTGTCCCAATTTGGGCACCAAGGCTATCGCAAAAGCAACCCCCAACAAGGGACTACGACTTCGAGAATAGCCGACATGGCCATGTCGAGACTTGAGATATGTTCGTAACATACGAGTAGCTTGCCCTAAACCCTAAATCCTAAACCCTAAAGCCTAAACCCTAAACTCTAAACCCGAAACCCTAAACCTAAACCCTAAACCCCTACACCCCTAAACCCTTGTTCATTGTGAGCATGGGTCCGCCAAGACCGTCAAGGCCAACTCCCATTCCGTTCCCTCTGCCAGGGCATTCATCAGCGCACCGCAGGTCACCTGGGTTTAGGGTTTAGGGTTTCGGGCCGCAGGTCACCTGGGTTTAGGGTTTAGGGTTTAGGGTGTAGGGTGTAGGGTTTAGGGTTCAGGGCTCAGGGTTTAGGATTTAGGGTCTAGGGTTCAGGGGTTCAGGGTTTAGGGCCACAATATACCAGGCCTATCACGGGAGGTACTGGGGATTCGGTCTTTCAACAAACTAGGGCTTAGGGCTAAACCCTAAACCCTAGTCACCCTAAACTCTAAACCCTAAAACCCTAAACCCAAAGAAAGCCTGCAAGCCTGTTTTCTCGAAGCCAAGTGGCGACATCAGGCCTCTCCTCCGCGAAGCTTGCGAGATTGAGCGCTTGATGCCACGACTGCAACACTGGGGCATGCCCGGGAGTTTAGGGTTTAGGGTTTGGAGTTTAGGGCTGGCTGCATGTACAGTGTTCAGGGTTGTGGAGGGTTTAGGGTCCGAAAGTTTAGGGTTCATCCTAGAGTTTAGGATTTATAGGGTTTAGGGTCCTAAGGGGGGCACCTCATGCGGATCATACCGTCAGCTTCCCTTCCGCACGGGACACTACAGGCCCCCCTTTCATAACGGCCCTCTGGTCCTTAGCAGGCAATGGGGGAATAAGGTACCCTATTAAAGGGGTGCAAAGAGTTTCAGTGTATATGTAGGGGGATATAGGGTGATTTCCTCATTCCCTCATTTCCTGGCCCTAAAAGCCCTACAACGCTTGCATCCCTGAACCTAAACTCCGAGTCGGTCTCCCCGTAAAAGGCATTTTGTATTAAGATGATACTTACAAAATACATTGCTATATTATATATACACACACATACCTACATACATACATATATATATATGTATATACATATGTATATGTATATATATATATACATATATATATATATTGTGTATATATATAATATGTATATATGCATGTCTGTATGTGTGTGTGGGTGAGTGGGTAGGATTTGCAGTGAAAGGAAAGCCGACGATGGGACGTGCCTAAGTCAGTCATTAACATGTCCGAAGGAAGGAAGCGGACATCACACGTGCTGCCCCGACATGCCTTGCCACAAGCAGCGATTGCAGAGTTGACGCAGAACAGACTCCGCTTCAATCGCAGCTGCCCCAATGCTGCGAAAGTGCTGAGGGCCCCCATCCACTCAGAAAGCTGCCCATAAGCGAGGATCGCCGAGCTGTATGAGATGATATTGGTCTCGCACTTCGAGCCTGGTCCCAGGACATGCAAACTCTCACTTAAGGCTTCCCTCTCGTCGTTCCTGCCAGTGCCATTTTCCTGCAATAGAGGGGGATATCAAAACTCTTGGGCGGGGTATTCTTTCCTCATGTCTTTCTTCTGTCCTCGCCTTTTGAATTTTCGCTTTTGCTTATTCGCTCTACCTTGCCCTCCGTCCCTTTGGCTCTGTCTCTTTGTCTCCTGTCCAGCCGAAGCCACAGTACTCACGTGCACGAAAAGCGCAGTTTCTTTCAACGCTTCTTTCTCCAACCCCTGGGAGTGTTCAGAACCCATGCCTCGGAGTGCATTCATGGAGTTTAGGGTTTAGGGTTTAGGGTTTAGGGTTTGGGGTTTAGGGTTTAGGGTTTAGGGTTGGGGTTTAGGGTTTAGGGTTTAGGGTTTAGGGTTCTTTGTTGCTTTAACAGCTTGCGCCCTCAACTTTTCGTGTGCGATCTCTGACTCTGGGAGCTCAGTTTTAGGCGTTATGCCACCATCGCACTCAACGGTACGGAAAGTACTTCGGAACTTCGCCTGAGCTATGAGATCCACCTCTTCCGAGAAGGCGATTCTGCAAATGAGGCAGTACACACAATCAAAAACTCATAATGAAGGAAGGCTCTTACTCTTGAACCAGGAGATTAGAAAGCATCACGCTAACAATGCTGCTAACACATAGTAATTAATAGTAACAATCACAGAGCTGCTTCATGACCCCTTGCATTGCGGAGCCGGAGCCTGCCGCCTCGGTGAGCAGGTTGTGAGCTTTTTGCCACTTGCCGGCTTTTGCGAAGGCAGCGCTGACACCGTTGATGGTCACAATGTTGGGCTGCACGTGCAGATCCTGCACTGTGAAGATGTCACCGAACCATGGTGCTGCGCATCGCAAAACAAAGCCATCGAAAGCGCACTCCCCGCCTTCATGGTCGACACCCTGCAGCGGAACTTGAGCAATTTGGTCAAAACTCCCGACTGACAGGTATGTGTACACATATATATATATATATACATGTAAGGATCCAATTGCAAACGCTGTATATACATATATATATATATACAATATGATTACATGACAAGTATCTATGTACGTACAATACGCAAGTGACCGCCTGGCATGAGCATGACATGATCTCTGAGGCATGCGCAGATCCGTGGCCGACATCCATTGGCCACACTTCTCACAAGCACCTTGCTTCTCCGATAAGCTTAAGGGGAAAATTTTCCTACTACTTCTCCAATAAATAAGGGAAAAAAAGGCTAAACTTGATGTTTCCTGTTACTCTAAGCAATAAGGAAACCCAAAAAAGTTGAAAGTTCAATTCTTGGCCAAGTAAGGCACTGATTGCTGCACTGAAGCTCACCACGTTTGGCTGCGCTCCTTGTCGGTGGCTGTGCACTGCACGGAACAATCTGGGGCCTATGCCCACAGCAACGGGCTGGGTTTTGGGGTTGGGGTTTGGGGTTAGGGTTTAGGGTTTAGGGACCCCTGTAGTAGACCCCCAAATAGTAGGATTCCCATCTAAGAACGACCCCAATAAGGTACCCCCTATTTTCGGAAACCTCCACATGGCAAACATGACAAGGGCAAAGCATGCTGCGGTGGCCTGAGGCGCACATCATCCGTGCCAACATGGCCAACGCGAGCTTCCACTGCGCTGCATTTTCCATCGCGCTGATGACCGCCGAATATGCCACCACCTCAGGACATCACCAGATGTTGCAAGCATACTTGTTTTTGGCTCGCCAGACAAGCATACTGCTCACACTTTTGCCCGACACCCGATGACTTTCTCAGAATACAGCGACGTCCATCTTAGCAAATCTTCGCGTCTGTAAGCGAGATGCTCCGCTTCTTCTTGGACGTCTGTCCAGTGCACTATAGCAGTGCATGGCTCGTCTGCACTGTTGGTTCCACTCAACGCAGTCAAATTCGCTTTAGACGATGGGAAGAGAAAAATGTTGTGTGTCGCCCTGGGGCGAAGCTATGCAGACAATGAGAAGCCTTTCAGGTTCGAGCGCATGGCGGGTTGCCAACAATCAGTCATCACAGTACTGGCCCCAAACCCAGAACCCAAAACCCTAAACCCAAAACCTAAAACCCAAAACCCAAAGCTTAACTAACGGATGCTTCAACTAAGGCTGCAGCATTGGGCAGTAACTTCTGCACAGCGACCTCCTTCCAGGGCAGGAGTACTTGGGAATTGATCCTATAAATTCCACGCCCGAAGCCGTCGATCCGGGTGTCTTACAACTTCTCAGTAGGGGATGAGGGACGGTAGGCACCTCATCTCCCCTTATATATCCCTGTGCAGGGATTAAATAGGGTACCTCTCAACCCCCTAAACTCTGAAGCCTAAACCCTAAACCCTTCCAAGAACCAATCACTAACGCTCACTTTTCGGGTTTATAGGGTTCTAGGGCTTAGGGTTTACTGTGTTGAGGGTTTTAGGGTTTTAGAGTTCTGGGGGTTTAGGGCTTTAGGGTTTAGGGCTGTCATCTCCAGTCGGTAGATATCCCGCCGAACTGCAGCGGTCCACAGAAGAAAGGCAGACACTTGCCAGGGTTTAGGGTTTAGGGTTTAGGGTTTAGGGTTCAATGTTCGTACATGATTATGGCCACCTTGTCACGCCATGAAGATGGGAATTGAAGTTTGACTTGCACAAGTTTTGCGCCTGTGAGGAACCTTTTACAAGAGCACTGAGCACAGCCAATAGTGTGTCAGGCAAGCAAGCAGCATGACACCCTCCCCACACGCTCGCGCAGAGAGAACCGCATGAGACGGCTTTGCTTACTTCTCCTACACCCAAGGAATCAAAAGCCAAACTTTATTCTTCCCGAAAAAAACCCAAGGAAACCCAAAAACCTTAAAGTTCGACTATTGGAGAAGTCCCTAAACCCTAAACCCTAAACCCTAAACCCTAAACCGTGTCTCCTGGAAGAGTGCGAGTGCCCGCTGCCAGTTCGCAGCCGAAGCCTCGGCGCTGATGGCCGTGGCATAGGCGACCAGATCCGGGACCAGATTTTGCTTCAACTCCTCTGGGGTTTAGGGTTTAGGGTTTAGGGTTTAGGGTTTAGGGTTTAGGGTTTAGATTTTGCTTCAACTCCTGCGGCTGCTTCTTAGTAGGGATTAGGGTTTAGGGTTTATATAGGGTTTAGGGTTTAGGGTATGAGGGATGTACCCATATACTCCCTTAAAGGGTATATATAGATATATACATGTATGTATAAAGGGCCCTAACTCCCTCATTCCCTACTACGAATTGGGGGGGGGGGGGGGGGGGGGTGTGCAGCTTAAATAGGGTTTATTTGGAAGCTGGCACTCGTGTTCACAAGAGGAAAAAAGGCCCCAAAACGTATACTTATTTACAAGAGCCAACTTCCAAATAGACCCTATTTTAGGTCCTAGGGGGGGTCCCAGGCCTGAATTAAATATGAAGGCCCCGATTTAAATATGAATATTTAATTCTGGAGCTTCATATTTAAATTATTTAATTCGGGCCCGGGAATTAAATAATTTAAATAATTTAAATAATTTAAATAATTTAAATCCTGGAGGGGGGGGGGCGGGCCTCCTCCCGCAGGAGGAATTAAATAATTTAAATATGAAGGCCCCGAATTAAATATTAATATTTAATTCGGAGCCTTCATATTTAAATTATTTAATTCTTCCTGCGGGAGGAGGCCGCCCCCCCCCCCTCCAGGATTTAAATTATTTAAATTATTTAAATTACTTAAATTATTTAATTCCCGGGCCCGATTTAAATAATTTAAATATGAAGGCCACGATTTAAATATGAATATTTAATTCGGGAGCTTCATATTTAAATTATTTAATTCGGGCCCGGGGCATTAAATAATTTAAATAATTTAAATCCTGGAGGGGGGGGGGGGGGG